TGCATATGAGAGGAGAGGTCTAGCTGATGGAAAAACAGTAGGGCTGAAATCTTTCTACTATGCCATGAACAACCTATTTAGAGAGACAATCAACCCAAAAGGTGGTGACTCAACTTCACTGAGGAAGTATGCAAAGAACTTGCTTGCAAGGATAGCTCCAGGAAGTGATGTTTTCTCTGTTAGCAGGTTTATTTAGGCTTAGTTGAGTGACTCACTAGATGATGCTAGGAATGATCTCCCGTTGCTCCTTATATCATGTATATCATTGAGAGGGTGTCCGGCATTGAGTTTAAGAAAGATGTGGACCACAGGCCATATAGGTTGACACAGTGGCAGCACACAGGCTGGGAGGCACTGGTTGGGGCTGCTGGCACGTTAGCTGCAGCAGGGGCTGCACCCTCAGAGAGACCTAGCAGCAGCAGGCCTTCCTCTTCCCACCACAGATCCAGGGGGAGCAAGCTCAAGGAGTTGCTCAAAAACATATTTTGCATGTGTCAATATGTTGTGGATGCTGCTTATGAGAAAGGAAGGACATCAATGACATGAAGAGGCAGTTGGGACTTGAGGTTAGAGAGATTTCGCCCATGCCAGCGTTTTCACCCTATGAGGACAGTAGTGAGGATGATGAAGAGACGGAGTATCCTCATGATCAGGATATGCTTGATGAGAGGATGAACATCCTCAGACGTAAGAGATGACAGTCCAGGCCACAGAGGTTCACAGCTACTACACACAGGCTGGCAGGGCTGTTGTGAGTGACAGTGATGAGAAGTCCCAGCAGATGATGATGACGGTGACTGAAGTAGGGAGCAGTGATAAAAAAGGTTTCCAAGCACGAACACCGTTTCACAAGCATGGCCAGGCGGCAAGCCCTCGGGCCGAAGCCCGATGGGAAGGCTGAGCACGCAGAGAGCCATGCATGATGCACCCTCCAGCCTGCTACCCTGACCTCTCTGCCCGTACGTGCCGCTGCCACCAGAAAGAAGATCAGAGACCACCAAATAAAAAAAAAACTTCGTCACCAGCCACGGCGACCGCGCTACGTGCACTGCGGTGATGGCATGCTACCCGACATGAATGGGGTAGGACGTAATTTTCCAGGTCAACGAGTAGTAAAAGCTGGGCCTGGGCACCTCTCGTGAAACAGAGACAGAGACGCCGGCATGGTGCATGGCCAAGGGCCAAGGCCAATGATTCTAGCGTGGATACGTGTTAAAGTAGCGTCCAAGCGAGACTGTCTCCCAGCTCACATGCGAGCGGAGCGGTATGCGCAGTGTCCTCACGAGTGGAGGCTCAGGGCTCATCACGAGTTCGGAGCGTAGCATGTGTCTGTACGAACTTGAATCATCATTTGATGGTGCGTGTCCAAAGATCTCGAGCACGGTACAGGTCGTTAGGCCTGACGTGTCCATGGGGGCTGAACAGAGTGCGAGTGTAGTTTTTTTTTTAGGAAAACAGAGTGTCGGTATTTGGAAAGCTATAAGTGGGGCCCTACATTTTGTAGCTGTGGGAAAAGCCCGCGTCCCAGTTCGGCCCAGGCCCATTAAATCCCTTGCATACGAATCCCGTCACTGGCAAGTGTTTTGACATATGGGCCCAATCTGTCATTCGGCATCACGCCTGTATTTCAGTTAATAGCAGGTTTGAGTCTTGTTTAGTTCCCTACGCGCCATAGCTTGTCAGTTGTCACGTCTCACCTTTGCCCTCTTACCAGAACTATAGCGCGCTGAAAAAAGTTCGGCGTCCCTCCGGTGCTTATCTACAGCATTTCTTGCAAAAAGTTCGGCACATGATTTTTCAAACGTAATTTGATGCAACTTATGAGAATCGAATATGCGCACGTTCGCTTGCTCGTATACGATCGTGGATTATAAGTTGGAATAGTATTTTTCTCTCACACCAAACTAGCCAGTAATAAATAATCCACGACCGTTTACGACGAAACGAACATGCTGGTGGTCAGGATCCAAAAAGAGCCTTGGCCCCATGAGACCAGAAACTCTGCTAATCTGAGTAATCTCTTTGTTCACTTGTGCAAGTGTAGCTCAGTTGATGTGGGCTCGAGCAAGCAGAAATATCTGTTGGAGCTTAGGAGGCCATCCGAATTTTCAGTTTAAATGATTGTTTGCATCTATAGGACTAACAATTACTCCCTCAGTCCCCATAGAAAGAGTTATTATAGGACTCATGTTGATCGAACTTTCTTTAGTTTAACTAGGTTTATAGAAAATATTAGTAATATTTGTATCTCCAAATGAGTTTATTATAAAAATATATTCAGTGCTCTATTTAACAATACTAATTATGCATCATAAATATTAATGTATTCTTATATATATTTGGTCAAAGTTAAAAAATAATTAACTTCTCGGGAAACGAGAATAACACTTTTTTATGGGACGGAGGAAGTAATTGATTAATTTTTAGTCCACTAGTTATGGATTAGTTGTTAGTCCATATATATAGGAGTTAATACAACTACTCCCTCCTTTCTTTTTTTACATGTCACATTAGCTTTTTCCTAAGTCAAACATTATTATCTTTGATCGGCCATTTTTTAAAAAATTCTTATAGTTTCACAACATATAAATTATATATTAAGAAAGTATTTCTCATAGGAATCTAAAAACATAAATCTTATAGCATGGTTCTATTTTTTTTTACAATCAATGGTCAAATATACAAATATTTGACTTAGGGTAAAGCTAAAACGACATCTAATAAAAAACAGAGGGAGTAGTTATTAGTCCTGTCCATCCAAAGAGATTCCAAACTCCAAAAAAAAAAAATATATATATATATATATATATATATATATATATATATATATATATATATATATATATATATATATATATATATATATGGACTCCGGGCTATGCCCGCAAGGGAACATTAATTCTAAATTGATAGTCATTCTTGTTTTTCTAGGTCTTTATGTTTCAAATTATGCGATGAGATCCTCTTAAGTCGGACACATCAACTTGTCTCCGCAGTCAACATCTCATTCATCTATTCGGAACCAACCATGACTCTGGAAGCCAGCTATTCTCACAGGCCAGCAGCTGGCTCATCAGCCCAAGGACACGCAAGGGAGCCCTGTGTACCTCTGTCGTCGTTGTAGATCACTGGATGGGCACTCTCATCCAGCAGATGCTCGGAGAACAGAGATGGGAGGAAAAGCTCTCTCGCGAGCGTTCACAGGGGACGGGGATGGGGAGCTATCCCCGGATGAGAATTCTCCGACATCCTTAACCGAGAACCCTAAATTTGTGTTTGCATAATCATCTCTTGGAGCGTTGTTTACTTGTTCACTTATTCTTACACGTTCTTCAATTTATTTGTAGATTTATATCGCCATGTTCGTTTGAACTTTTCAGCCCTTATCAGTTGTGGAATAATATTTTCTCTCACAACAAATTAGTTTGCCGACTTATAAACCACGACAAATTAGAGCTGGTGTAACCGTCGCTACGGTCTTTTTTCCGTGCGGAGTACCTTGCACAAACTGCTGCTGGAGTAGCAGTACTAACAAAGGCAATACACGAACCAAATGATCCTAACCTTTGTCTCAAAGCAAGCTTCCACGCTGGACTCGCCTTTCACTGCATTTGATTCGTCTCTGAACCCAAGCCGATGGCACGTCGCGTCATATGATCAGAGATGGTTGAGCAAGTCCTGTCAAATGATGATCATGGGCTAGGCGCTCAGCGCGGGGGCCACTCACGTGACCAAAGCCGGAGCTGCCATCAATCGCATCGTACTCCAGCGCAGTGAAAGGGAGCAGGGCACCCGGAGCAGGGAGGCGACGGCGGCAGTTACGCTGCCGCCGATGCGCCGACAGGCTCTCCCTCTCAAGTCCCAATTGACGGCCGGGACGTCGGGACGGACGACGGCGGCCGGTTGCGGGGTTGGCTAATCGCCTGGCTGTCCAGACTGAAGTCCAGGACGACAACTGCTGCTGCTTCTGCTCCTGTTGCGTTTGACCGTAATACGGCCGTTGCTTTGACAAGGAAGAGTGTGCACTCCTCGTCCTCTGGATGCCATGGGCTGCGGCTGCTCACGGGCTGGCGTGTCGTGATCACGTGCACGTGGTAATGGTATGGTTGCACTACACACACATTATGGACTATGGTGTACTACCCCTGTATCCTGATGCTTCTTTGTGTATCCTGTACTGTACTGCTACACCGTAACTTCGTAAGATGTACTATGTGGACTTGTGGGAATGCGATTAGGACACGGCGAATCAATTGTGGGCTCAACAACGTTAGCCCTGAAGTTTTTTTTTTTTTTTTTCTGGAACGTTAGGCCTGAAGTGAGAACTCCATTTCACCTACATTACTCTTCAAAATCTACTAAAAAAACACTACTCTTCAATTGACAAATCGAATGGGGCTTTCAGTAGTACTTGCCGAAGGGCGCTGGCGCTCTCTGAATGGTTGGTCCTGGGCCTGCTATTACTGGGCCTCCTGGCGAATCAATGGAAGCCCAGTTTGATTCTTTCATTGCAAAACCAGCCCAACTGAGGTCGGAAAGCGAAACAAACAATGGCAACACAAAAAGCTCTGAACAAAATGAACCTCATCAAAAGAAGGGAACAAACGAAGTCGCAAAGCATCACAAAGACTACGCTTTATTCACTTCCTAAATTGCACATTGGCCGCGACCCACTTTTTTATCGACCTTATCGTACCACGTTTTTTCATTAAAAAGAAAAATTAGCCATGACTCACTGACAAGACAATCCACAATTCTGTCCCAAATCCAGGATAAATCAAATCGAACATCTGTCCCAGAGATATCACTGATCATATCACCGCACAAGCCGAAAAGAAGCAACACCTAGGAGTATTTGCCAGGTTCGTTTAGCCAATAAATCATAATTAAAAATACTTTTGGCTGATTGATCTCAGGCGAACAGGGCCAGAGCTGCAACACCTACTGCTTACAGGCCATCCTAGAAGTACGCTGCTCCATATATACAGCCCAGCTGTCTGTCACTCGACGCCCTCGGCGGATTTCTGCACCAGCACGACGCCCAGGGTGATGGCGGAGGCATAGAGCGCGTTGGGCATCTTGCGCACCACCTTGCCCACGCCGGGGACGCCCTCCGTCGCCCGCTTGGTCGCCATCGCCAGCGCCGGCGCCGCCACCAGCGTGATCAGCAGCTTCACGCTGATCGTGCACAGCGAGTCCGCGGTCAGCTTCCGGATGAACTCCGCGAACTCCTCGCGGTCCAGGAGCCCGTCCAGGTTCACGTCATACTCCTGCGCGTTGCAGAAACCAAGCCAATGATGATAACCACACTCAACTCAAGAACTACCTGTAGCAGCTGAAGCAACGGGGATCTCGAGATGGGAAAAATAATTACTTCCAGCCTTCCACAGCAAACCACTGACTTTGTGATTAAACTAACACATAAACCAAGAACACTTTGCTTCTTCCAGTTCAAGGAACAGCTGGAAGAAGAACACGATATTCGATTGGCCATACTGAAAACAACAAAACTGAAACGAAGGGGAAGAAAGGGGAAGACTGTGATTACATCCATCATGGCCTTGAGCTTCTCCTTGGACGGGGGATCGTGGTGCGGCCCCGGCAAGTACTTGTTGATGTCACTGCCACCAGCAAGAACAGCAATAACCAATCAGAAATAGATAAAAACTGCAGAGTATTCCAACAAATTCCAACATGGTACAGGATTCGCTCCGCTGTTGTACTTGTAGACGCAGAGGACGGCGATGTAGACCTCCTCGAATCTAAGGGCCTCCTTCTCGCGCTTCTGGGCGTCCTCCGTGAGGCGGTCGAACACCTTGTCGGTGATCTTCCTCACCTGGTGCTCCTTCCACCGCCGCCCTGCACCGATTCGATTCGTCGTTCATCTCCACCGACTCGACCGCTCACGAGACTGGACCGAGAATAAGATGCGAATCGACCGATGGATGGGGTTAAGGGGCGGGTACCTTGAAGTTTGTCTTGAAGATTGCCCCAGGCTTGCCCCATGGCCGGGCCGACGGCGGAGAGCTGGATGGGGCTCTGCAAAAGGGCAAGGGAAATAAAGGTGTCTTGCTGAAGTTTGTGATTCTGGTTTAGCGGATCCCTAATCATGTGGACTGTGTCCATCTTCCTGTGAGAGTTTGGAGGTCTCTTACAAGCGCGTGCTATGGGTACCCGATTTATTGTACACAGAGCTGCACCCAACCGTACGTTGTGGTCACAGACACCACCGCGTTTAGCTGGTGCATTCAACAGTGAATTTTAGATGGTTTTGGATGATTGAATAGTATTACGTGAGAGAGAATAAGCTGGAATAAGCTGGGAGTGTACCAGCTGAACGCGGTGACAGTCACAACTCGCACCATACCCTTTTCCTTTTGGGGCGGTGAAGATAGAAAAAACAAAATGCTAGAGAAGGTATTGTACTCTTGTCTCAACCAAGTGTGATATTCTTATCTTTCTTTTCGTGCGGTGGAGCAATCCCCATCCGAAATGTAATCCTATATATACTAGTGGATGTGGATTTTTGGGCGTGTTTGATTGGAGATCAAAGCTTGCCATATCAAAGGTTGGTCATGTCATAGTTTTTTCGGTAATTAGTTGGTTCACTGCTGTAGCTATGGCACGATGAACTTTCCTAACACCCTGCCCCATATGTCGTAGACTCATTTTCGTGCAAAAACTTGCCACAAGTTTGGCTTCAGTTTTGTTTGCCACACTTTCTGTGGCAGCCATAGTTTGCCGAAGGTTAGGCGTGGCAAGTTTTGGTCGCCAACCAAACAGACCCTTTATCTTGCTTTTTAGTTCTTTTTCTATCTTCCTAATACATATTGGAGTGCCGGTCTCTGCTACTCAATACTCATCATAAATTGGATTTTTATGAGTATGTTATCTTAAGAGCTCTCATTCTTTCTTCTGATGGTTATGCCATACGAGTAGCACCTGGCACCTGGAGTTGTTCTCCTTGAGCTTCTCCTAATTTTGTAGGCACGAAAGAGAGAAAGGAGAGGCTCTAGAGGTTGAAGTCTTGAAGATGATTTGAGCCCCTCTTCCATTAAATCCTATATTCGCCACTATTTCTGGCCCAACATAGGAGAGCTCGTGTCTTATCAGTTTCGTTCTAATTTTATCGGATGTCTCCAAAAAGGCTCGTATTGTATCAGTTATCCAGGGTTGGTACATGTAATTGCACTTTGATCGGTTGGTTGTTTTCATTTAGTTTAGGCTATGGAGAAAAAAATATTTGCTTACCACACTCGTGCTCTCACCCTAATATCGTCGTTCTCTTGCCAAGCGTTGCTTGCACGCACTTGCCTTGGCCTGCCGAAACCAATTGGACCAAGGTTGCATGCTATTGGCCTGGCCGGGTTTGTACCCAACCAATCACGCTTGCTACAACTGTCTAGTGAGGCTTTCTCCTGCCTAAAAGCAATGGAGATTGCGTGGAATATTGGATTGATTGAGAGACCAATCTCTCTAACCAAATACAGGGTCTACCGGCTATACCAGGCTCGGGTCTACCATATACACACGCACATCATATACATTCTAACACTGCCTTCTCTTTGAAACCAAACTTACGGAGGAGAGGAAGGTCAATCTTCGCTAGAACTGGAGACAAGAGTTTGAGTGAAGAAAACAAAATTCACATACATGTGGATACTAGCTAGAAGCCAAAACCCAGGTGTCATATAACAAAATCGTTTTTCTTTGATTCATAACTGTACTTTGCCCATCCTAGCCTTGGTGGATTTTGTGGTACCGTTTCGTGTTCTTAGGTTTTTGGATCCACAGCACTAACAACTAGTTAACTAATTTTTAGTCTCTAAGCATCTAAACAGGTGGACTAATTGTTAGTCCACTAGTCATGGACTAGTTGTTAGTTTACTAGTCTACTTATAGAAGCTAAAATAAAACTAGTTGTCAGTCTAGTCCATCTAAACACGCCCTTAATTGATCGGCAGAACTGTAGCTAGCGCTACTTTTTTTCAGAGGAAAAAAGAGAAGCTCAGAGCCAACTATCCGCGCAGGATGGCATTGCTTAAATTGCCACCACGATAGCTCCAATGCTTCACGCTAGTGGGCAGATATGCACCAGCGCTTCAAATCATATTTTCCGAGAACACTTTGCACTGGAACAAACGCCATCACAATCATTTTTGTATACGTGCCATTCAGACGCCAATCGCCTGTAATAATTTAGTTAATACATCGTTCTCTGTCAGACTTTGATCCTATCACCACACAGCAGCAAAGCAATATAATGGGACCATATGCTGATATCCGTGAGAGCCAGTGAAAGCGAAACCTCCAGCGCCTTGAGGCGATTCCGGTGATCGGTTCACTCCCTCTGCTTGCCCAGCCGGACGTCCTGCAGGAGCATGAGCCAGACGGAGAAGACGGTGGCGAGCAGCGGCGTGGGCACCTGCTCCACGGCGTCGCTTATCCTCGGCACCTGCCTGGCGGCGTTCTTGGCCGTCACGGCGAGCAGCGGCGCGCCCAGGATCGCGACGGCGGCCTTGTTCGCGAGCACCAGCCGCAGGTCCTTGTGCACCCAGTCGAGGATCAGCTCCTGGAACTCCGTGAACAGTATCGCTTTCTTGTCGCGGTGCGCCTGCAGTTGCGGCCAGAGTGAACAAGCGATGATTTGTTGTGTTTTTTTGGCGGAGAGCAAGCGATGGATTAGTTAGTTTTTGATGGGCTGATCTCTTTCACTACCCGGACGGCCCAGCAAGGCCCAAAAAAGAACTCAAGGATGAAACATGCATTCTCTCCTGTTTCTCTCTCTCTCTCTCTCTCCCAACCCGACGGCCCAATAAGGCCCAGCGGTTGATGGCCCAATTTCCTCCCCACCAGGTAGCGAGCGAACAGGCGCATCGGCATCAGCCAGGCAGCCAGTCGCGCAATCGCGCTCGAGCGCCGTTTCTTTTCTCTTCCCGTCTCTCATCTTCCCCAACAACTCCAAATCCTGGCGCGGTGGGCGGCGAACTCGTGACTCTAGCGCCCCAGCGGCCGGCGAGGGTGCGTCGGCGTGGCGCTCGCGCCCTTGTGGACGGCAGGCCGGTGAGGCTGTGACCCGGTGTGCGCATTGGCACCATGGGCATGGGATGCACAGCACAGCCGCACATGGCATGAAGCTTTTTGGATTGACCGATTGAGGCTTCTGAAGTCAATTTGTAAGTTAAAATTTGGTCTACTGGCTTCCCATAATCTCATTCATACATTGTGGATTGCAATTTATTAATCACTTGTAAACTAGGAAGAGGGGAGTCTTGACTGTCTAAGTCAGTGCCTCTGTATAATACTATATCACCACGTTCGTTTTATAGTATCAGGCATGCTTATCAGTTATAATATAATGTTTTTCTTTAACAATAAAACAGCATCAACCGGCTTATAGCGAACAGGTCCCTCAAACATGAAGAGAAAAAGAGTGGTGCTACAGATTTGAGGGCTTTCTATGAATATATGAAATCATGGTCAATTATGTGTTATATATTTCCTATCTATTAACCAGTTACGTCTATGTGGTATTATACTATTATACATGTTAAATACTAGTTGTAGGTTGCCATTTTTTTTTCCCTATTTTGAATACCCAGTTCCAAATCCTGGGCACGCCCCTGCGAGCAGCCGCCGCCTCACTCCTCCGCCAGGCCGCGCGCCTCCCTGCGCCGCTCGCTCTCGAGCCGCCGCCCTCTCGCTCCTCCGCCGGCCCGCTCTCGAGCCGCGCGCCTCTCCTGCGCTGCCCGCTCTCGAGGACCGTGTGCGCCGCTCCCTCACCGACGGCGACAGCGACGGCGCAGGCAACTGCCGGTTCTTCCTTCCCTAGGAAAAAAAAAACGTTCTCCCCCCGCCGGGGAACCATACCTTCATTTTGGAACCATACCTGGTTTTCAGCGATGGTGTTCAGGCGGGGAGGGTCCTTGTGAGGGCCGACTAACTGCTTGTTGATCGAACTGGCGAAAACCGTGGTTGAAAACGGGGAAGCGCAGTCAGCACAGACAGATTAGCGATCCAACACTGAAGTGAAGCGATTACTTAAGCAACGGCAATCTCACTTGTAAACCATGAGGGTGGCGACGTGAAGGGAGTTGATGTCCAGGAGCCCCGTGTTCTTGTCCGCCAGGTCCTCGAAGACTCTCTTGCAAATTCTTTCGACATCAGTCTTGCCTGCAAGCGAACGCAGATGGATGAACTTTCTCATGAGCAGAGCGGAGTAGAGAGACCAATATAACACGAGGTTGCAGAAATGGCGATGGCGAGAGGTGCGCGTGCAGGGCAGGGAAACGTGGTTACCGCGTGCTCTGTCCCACGCGCGACCGAAGAAGTTAGACTTGGACGAGGACGACGACATCGTTAGCTCTCTCGATCTGGATCAATGGCGGCCTGGGAGGATCGGAGGCAACCACACGACGAGTGGGAGAAGAGAGGGAGCGCCTACGGTGGTAGCAATATCGATGTGGCGGAATAGCTTTTCTGGTGTCTGACGAAGAAGTCGCTTCGCTTGCAGGGAAGGGAAGAATCAGAAGGCTGTTGCTATGGACTGGCTAATGGCGTCTCTGTCCTGTGCAGCCTGTGTTTATCTCCCTTCCTGCCGGCGCTAGCGCTACTGCTTTCCTTGCTCCTTCAGCAGTTCAGCCCCTAGAATAAATCCTGGATTCCTTCCTTACCTTTTGTCTGACAAACGCCTGCTTCAGGATCAAACTTGGGAGTCCTCACCGCTGGAAGGGGGAGCATCAAGCAAGCCTCAGCAGCTTTCTTCAATTTTTTTTTAAACAGCTTTCTTCTTTCTCTCTGATCGTAGTGGGTTTGGGCCCACACATATTTCCAACTTGACTAATTGGGCTTCTTGGTCTATGTAAGCAAGGCCCAGGGTATACGGTCCCTTCCCCTATTTTCTCAAAAAAAGAGAGAAAAAAAAAAAAAAAGTCCTTCCCTTCGTCACTTCGTCGTGCAAACTTACAAAGTGGAGAAGGAACCGCACGCCATTGTTCTGCATTCTTACCGCAGCAACCTTTTCAAAGTTCCTTACCACACGGAATCTGATTTCTATTTCCATTTCTCTTGGTTTCGTGTTTCCACAACAAGGAGGATGGATAAAACACCGAAGTCGGTATCCTCGTCTTGCAACAACGACGGTAAGTTTCCGCTCGAGTCTTGTTATTTACTGTCTTTGCTGTCTCTACTTTTTTTTTTCCTTTTGGGGAATGGGAGACGATGGGCTTAATCTACAATTTCTTACTGTAATTTTCAGATGGAGTGCCAGAAGCAACAGGGATGGAGAAAGTGTTGTCTGATTTGAATGCGCTCAAGAAGCTATACGGGCTGCTTCAAAGGGTGAGAACAAGTAAAAAACAAATCTCGTTCTTTAATTAGAAAACTCTGTCCAGATGTATCAGGAGAACAAAAGATCTAACTGCAAGGATTAGGCAAAATTGACTCAAAAGGAAGCGCTGCGATTTTGATGGGTTTTTTTCCCGCGAACGCGCTCGGAGCGTGTGTTTGATTAAGAGGGAAGCTGCGATTCTGATGTCATAGTTCCTTTTTTCTGTGTGTGGCGGTAGAGAAATATGTTTGCAATTTTGAAGCATGTATGATGGCACGTTTAATATTTGTGCAGTTAGATGAGACGTCCAGGGCCCTTTTGAAGAAGTTGCTTGATGGTGCTACCCGCCAGGCTCTCCTGAAACAGGCAAAGGTAATTTGTTGCCGTGCCATTACGTGTAAACCGCGTCACCTTCTCAGCAATTTTTTATGGAGTACCTAACCTAACGCACAACATTTTGCAGGCTCTTAGTACTGCTTCTGATTCGGTGATTCCGTTTTCTCTTGGTTTGACGTCTCCAAAGAAAACGGATCAAACAGCGTCGTCGAGTTCATCATTTCTTAACAACAGTTAGTTGCTGAACCAATCTTTGTTCTTCGCTGTCTTTCCATCCCTCCCGGCATTTCTCCTTGTGGCGAAAGGGGGAGAAAGACACATGTCTGTGTGACAATTAGTTTAGTTATCCATTTCTTATTCTAACTCTAATTTTGAAATGGGATTGCCAGAAGAAGCGGAGATGGAGCAAATTTTGTCTGATCTGCAGGCGCTTACGAGGCTATACATGCTGCTTCACAAGGGTCCGGCAGATGAAAATGTAACAATTTTTTCATGGCTTCGCTGTTGTGTCTTGTCACTTGTGAGAAGTAAGAAAAGTCAAAGATAGCTTTTTTTAGTAGAAACTAAATTTAGGCATGGTAAACCCTAACCCGAAGCATTCAGCCTGTTCGCTTGCTTGTATCTGGCTTATAAGCCATGGTTTATCAACCAACGAACATTATTTTTCTCTCACACCAAATCAGCCAACAGTACTTTCAGCCATGGCTTATAAGCCAAACCAGCCCAAACGAACGGGGCGAATATTTCTACTTTCGATATATCTAACTGCAAGAATGGAGCAAAATTGAAGCAAAGTGAACCAATTTCAATGTTTATTTTGTGAGATCAAAGTCTAAAGTTTTTCTGTGGTAGAGAAATATGTTTGCAAATTTAATGTAAACAATCGCAAGTTTAATTTGTTTTATTCTTACTTTTGTGCAGATAGATGAGGCATCCAGGGATCTTCTGATGAAGATACTGGAAGATGCTACCCAGGAGGCTGTCCGGAGGCAGGCAAAGGTAACCTGTTTGTTTTGTGTGCCATTATTAATTACAGACGGCCACACCTTCAGGAGCCCTATTTTCTGGTCAAATGCCAATGCTAATCAAATCTGAAAATTTGCCTTTCTGCAGATGCTGTCAGGTTCTCTAGTGTCCCCTGCGCTAGAGAGAAAGCTCTCCACGCGATCAGACTGCCGGACACGGCATGCCGATCCGCGTGTGAGGCCGGTGGCATCACCCAGACCCAGCCTCCTGGACAGTGAGCGACCACGCCGGCTAAACCTGCAACATTCTACAGTGTCAAGCCGATCTGGCCTCCACGTCGACGGACATCGCCATGCAGCGGAAGAGCATCCCCTTGCTCGCCTCGCCTCCAAGCACTCGTCGAGAACCGCATTGCCGGCACGGCACCGTCCAAGCCAAGAGCAGCGGCACTCCAGCCTCAGCCTCCACCGTTTCTCCGCAGCTGGAACGTCGAGACATGGCACGGTGACTGGAGGTACTCGGCTTGCCGATTGCCGGGACAGCATCCGTCGCAGCTCCGGCCGTGGTGACCAATGGTCGCCGGAACGCAGCAGCAGGAGCAGCAGCTGGCGTTCCGTGTCACGAGAGCTGTCTCTGGGGCCGTCGTCAAGGCTGCATGGCCGCGCCACCCCGCGGTACGTCGAAGCCGAGAGCTCCTCCTCGGTGCATCTCTTCGAGAGGATGGACTCTGGGTTGTCCCTGAGCATGACGTCGCGTCATGGTGTGGAGCACGCCGAACGCGGCGTGGCTACGCCGGAACGCTCTTCCTCGAGCAACACGATGGCAACCATACAGAGCCGTATCAGACCAAGCAACAATCTTCTCGAGGGCTCCCTACACCGATCTGCAGCAGAAGAAAGGAGGACTTCGCGCGGGAGGCAACAAGGCAGCGACGTTTCCAGCGCGGACATGTCCAGCAGCAGCATGTCCAGCGGCAGCAGAAGCTCATCGGGCGCCGCCAGCCTGTCTGCCTCCACGAGCCCGATGGCGTCGCCGGCGCCGCGTCCTTTTGCTAATCCCTACTACTACTCGCCACCGGTGATGACACGGGGCATTGCGCCGCCGGTGTACGCACCTGAGGTGTCGCGCTCAATGAGGAGGCGACGTCGGCAGGAAATCCTGGAGAAGCGGGTGGCGCGGCTGCGGATGCTCAAGGACAAAATCGCCACGGTGTTCCATCACCGCCACGACCATCACCACCACCACCACCACCTCGGGGGCGGCCAGGAGGCAGGCCCCTCGTCCAGGAGTGTCGTCCGCGGCGCAGGCCACTTCAACTCGCCGTGGCAGTACTTCACGAGCATGTTCCACCGCGCGAAAGGGAAAGATAAGAACGCTTGGAGCCGGACGGTGATAGGCGTGCCGGAGAAGAGGCGCGGCGGTGGCGGGAACATGCACGCGCTATTTGACGCGGTGCAGCGGCACTTGAAGGGCAAGCGGAGGGCACCGGCAGGCATGAAACTGAGGAGGAAGGCCAGCCGGGTGCGGGGCAAGAAGATGCATTGGTGGCAGCGGGGCATGGCAGGGGTGACGGCGGGCAGTAGACCACGACGCCGTTTAGGACATGGAAAGGCAGGGTGGCTGTAGGTCTTATTACTTGCTTATTGCCGCTCCACATTCACTTCCGGTTGTTTCATGAACCTACAACAAGTTTCAGTCTTCATGTTAATAGGACACCGACACCTAAAGTTGACAAGTAGCGTGTGGGTGTTTCACTGTTATGTATATGTAGCTCTGATATGAGAAAGGTTACCCCGTTTTTGGTGTGAGACCCAGCCCACTGGGCCAAGCTGGGCCGAACGGTCGAGTACTGTAGCTCCGGTTATTGACACTGTGTCAGCAGACCACTGTAGCGAGGGGAAACTGAGCCAACTTTATGGGAGGTAATTAACTTCGGTTCGAATCTTTTGCGCGAAGTGAGGATGAAAGCGTAAAAGAGTTAATTAGTAGGTGTGGTCCATTCAACGTGTCTGTAAGGTGCAATGGAACCAGGGTTCAAAATTTCGGCGAAATTTCGGCCGAATTTCACGAAATTCGGTAATTTCGGTGGTGGCCGAAAGAAAACTCCGAAATTTTTTAATACACTAATGCATGTGCTATATAACTCTAATCTTATATTTTTCTATTGTTTATATTGCATATTCTTCTATTTAATAGATATGTAGTCATAAATCATACTAATATTTGTTTAGATTCAATTTTTTTTTTGAAAAAAACATACTTCATGTGCTAATCTCTAAAAAAAATTCGGCGAAATTTCGGCCAAATTTCGCGAAATTCGGTAATTTCGGTGGTGGCCGAAATTTTGGCGATACCGAAATTAAAAACCTTGAATGGAACAACCACTCTGTTTGAGAAGCAACATGGGAAAAGGAAGAAGATATACACAAAGCTTATCCCGACCTCTTTAAGTGACGTGAGACCCAACCGAGTTGGGCCGGACCGAATTCTGGTTACTGTAGCACCGAGTTACTGTAGCTACAAAGTATAGTAACCTACACGAGTTGTGAGTTCGCCGAACCAGCTTAAATAGTTAGGTCAATGACACGTAGCGATTAACCATTTTGTGCGAAGCGAGGACGAAAACACAAACGAGTTGCTACGTAGGTGAGGCCCACCCCTCGGTAGAGTAGCCCTGTGCTGCGTGGCGGGCCTAGGGTGTTACACTTGGCTAACTGTTTATATTGGTTCTGATTTTGGTCCGTTGTAATTTGGTTCGATTTTCTAGGTAAGATGGTTTCTATTGGTTCTGAGTACGATGAATTGCTCGTCTCCCAAGTCATAACCATTACTCTATCAGTTTCTGAAGAACTCTTGCCGTTCAGTTCTCACTATATATTTCCAATTGCGGAGAGTGACCAAGAACGAGATGCTTTTTGATGCATTCATTATATTTCTATTTTTATTGCAATTCCCAATGGGAATGGTAGAGGAAATAGAGGGTTGGAGCAAGTTTTGTGTGATCCACATCCACCGGTACTGAATTGGCTACTTCACATAGTCCGGTTCATGGAGAAAAAAATATTGATGCATCGACTGCTATTTCTTGTGCATGAAAAGGCAAATCGTATATTTAGTTCACTGGTAGACAAAAAAAAAAGAATCAGAGAACAAAAACAAAATAAGGTCACAACTGATTGAACGCATCTATTTAGAGAAGATATGGTTCATGGGCTATGGCTTTAGGTAGGCAGCCTGTTCGCTATTTGATTTCTAGACTGATAAACTCGATTAGTATTGATTTGTTATGAGAAAAAAATACTTATCCTATGACTGATAAGCTTTGGTTGAAAACAATAAACGAACTGGATGAGAGTCGCAGACGATCCTTTCCAACGTCCGATCATCAGGATATCAACCAGAGCAGGCAAATTCACTATTACGTGACCTTATCGAACCCGGACTGGACTGCCTAGCCTGGCTTTTCTTCTCCCATTACCCGCGCGCGTCCTCTCTTTCTATGTACCATTATAAAAGTTGATAATTACTAAGTTATAAAAAAATTTAAGTTATCATAGATGCCACTGCTTCTAAATTCTTTTGCTTTACACGTTACTTTTGTCAGATTTAGTATTAACGGTGTCGAACTGTGGGCGTAAAAAGTCAAAAATACCCTTAGGTTTGAATATGTAATTAATTTTTTTGAGTATCTTAACGACCTTAAATGAAAAAACTCAAAACTAGAAAGTTATAGATCTCATCAAGATCTACAATATTTATATAAAAATTATTTTCATTTGATTATGTATAAAAAAATATGATTTTTTTAAGATATATTAATCATATTAAATTATTTTTTTGTATGGAATTAAATGAAAGATAATTTTTTACAAAAAATGTAGATATTGCGAGATCTACGACTTTCTAGTTTTGAGTTTTTTTCATTTGATGCCATTAACATGCTAAAAAAATTAATTACGTATTCAGACCTGAGAGTATTTTTGAATTTTCACACCCATAATTTGACATAAATCTAACGGAAATGGCACAAAAGATAAAATAGTTCAGAGCCGTGGCACATGTGAAAATTCAATTATTTTAGTGGCTGTACGTGATTATAACTTTTATAATGACACACAGTGAAAACCTCCTCTTTCTTTCTAGTGCCGACGAGTGGCGACGACCCGACGACTGTACGACCGCCGCCGCATCCCTGCGCCATCTACCCAGGTCTTCGTCGGGCCCTTCGCCAGCGACGAGCATCCACCAGGTATGCCCACCCCTTCTCTCCCTTTCCCGCTGCGCGAAACCGTGCACCCAAACCATGGCTATTCGATTCGTGTTACTTCTTGCCGCCGCGTCGCACGCTCTCAGGCGACACGGGCGGCTCCCGATCCGGCGCCGCCACCTCCAGCTCCTCACCCCTCTTCCGTCTTGCCGTCTCCCGAGCACGCCGCAGGGGGTCCGTGCGGCTGCAAAGTGCAATGACGGCGGCGACAGGGCAAATCCCATGCCCACTTTCTCCGTCCCTCTTGTTTTGTCAGATCGGCTGCCTTCGCGGGCGGCAACCGGCAAGGCAACGGCGGCCGCACGCAACGGCCTGCGCGCTACGCTCAACTCGGAGGGGGCGGCGTGTGGGCGCGCTTTGGGTGGTGCCGCGGTGTTCGGTTCGGCGTGCAGTGGTGACGGAGCTTCGTCCGGCGCGGTGGTGGCGATCTGCGTGTGGGCGGCAGCGGCTCGCGACGACCCGGATCTACACCGGGGGAGGGCGAATCTGGTGGGCCGGCGTTCGGATCCGGCCGGTTGGGCCCCTGCGAAGGTAGCGGCATGGCGAGGCCGGCGGCGACAGGGCGGCAGTGAGGGGTGTCAGGAGCTTCGAAGGAGGCTCGTGCGTTGGCGTAGCACTGCAGCATCGACTGCTTGAGGATATTGCTGAGGAGAGCGGCAAGTTGGTGACCAAGGTGGCGTGGCGGCCTGCATGGTTGGCCGTTGTGGCGCCTGTTGTTGCGCGTCCGCGGTGCTACTAAGCACGCTGGTGTTGCATTGGTGGCGTTTGCGCGTGGATGCACAGTGGCATGGGGGCTGTGTGGTGGCTCGGCAGCATGGAGGCTGCGGTGGGTGGCTGCGGCAATGCTTGGTGTTTTCAGCATCAGGGATGTGGCAGCAGAAGCTGCACTGGTGGTGGAAGGAGCTTTGAAGTGTGGATGGCAACGAGGGAGTTGTTGGGCGCACCTTGCACAGTGCGGTAGCTTGGTTGTCATGTCAAGGGTGTGGGCGTTAGATTGGCGGAGAGCAGCAAGGAGGGCGTAGGTGTAGTGGATGGCGTGCAAAAGCTCTTTGTGGCAGTTGATGGGCGACGGCACGGTGAGGCCGTGCGCCAGTGTTTCGAGGCTCGTGTGGGACGGGGTGGTCAGCAGGAGCATTGCCACATCAGCTTGTGTGGTGTGGCGGTGGGCGGTCACGCATTGTGGTGACCGCTCTAGCCCAAGGAGTAAAAATGGCAACGGGTAAAATCCGCGCGGGTATAGAAATCACAAACCTGCACCCGCGACAATATATCTGTGCCCGCGCCCGCGCCCGCCACCCGCCACGGGCAGCACTATGCGCCCGCGCCCGCTATCCGCGGGCATGTTTTGCCCACGGGCATGCCCGCTAGAAGTATAAATAGATGACATTTAACATGACAGCTAACACAGAATGACAAAAGTATAAATATATCACAACGTTCAATTATTCATCACACGTTCATAATCTCAATTCATCACAATCATAAATCACGCAACACAGTTCAATAGTTCACCACGGTCCACACATTCAACAATACAGTACTGGCCTACCATACAAGTACACATTGTTCAACTGCAAAGTCTTCCAAGTGATGCAAATAAACAAGACATGAACAAGTAATTAGTCGGAATCCGCTCTAGTGATGCAAGATTCATCTTTCAGATCTTCTTCATTGTCTTCAAGGCATGACAAAAGCTATTGAACCTTCCATCACCCTCATCTACATTCAAGTTCAAACATTAGTAGCTGCAGTATACAGTCCATGTATTAATGAAAAGAATTCATTGTAAATGCACATTTTTATACCTTTGAGATTGTGACGAAGCCAACTTTGGCTGCACATCAAAGCTTCCAACATTTTAGGAGTAAGACGACTGCGATGCTCACTTAAAACAAAGCCATGATGTTTCATATTGTTATTTTCAGAAGTTAGTTTTGTATGCATAGAGTTGCATGGGAGGTTTGCACTTGGGAGTACCAGGGGTCGCCATTCTAGCCAAACAAAGCCATGGTGTTTCATATTGTTATTTTCAGAAGTTAGTTTTGTAACAAGCGAAAAGGTTTATAATCATGAATCCAATACCATCAAAGATGTCATCACAGATGATCAGTTAACTTTTTGTTGCAAAGATCTCTAGTTAGGTGTATTCATCCCAATCTAAAATGCTCGAGACAACTCAAGTTCTAGCACTTCTTGTTCATTTGTCTTTGCCTAAGGTGAACCCTCCAGTCTAATGTCTTGCTGCAAACTCTCAGTCAGCCAGAGCAGGGCATGGCAGGAGCTGTGCACATTGCAGTTATCATTTTCAGAAAAGGAGTTACAATATGATATCTGTTTTCTCCATAGTTGGGAGCATTTTATGTATATTAGGACTTTTTTTCGTTTTTGATGTTTCTGTTTTGCATATATGTGCATTTAGTAACTTTATGACGTCTTAAAACTTTGCTTAGAAACTGACCAATCTGTGCTACTGGTTGACTTTTTTTTCTGCTCCAGTATCTGAAATTAAAACCCTGAGTATTACAAATGAATTGATATGAGAATATGCGTCATGACATTGCCTTCTAGCTTCTACCATTTGGCCAATCAAGTATTGCGGCATTTATAGCTGTAAAGATTGTAGCTAGGGTCAAGTGTGGAAGCTGGAGACAGATAGGCCATACAGTCTTTGACAGTAGATTGTTAATTTCTATTTCATGTTCAAGGTTCGTCTTATCAAGGAGCTCTACGGGAACCAAATTGGCGAGCTGTTCCATAGTCTTCCTTACAATATGATAGAGTTTGTATTGGAGGATTTTGAGTGGTAAGGATAATATTTAATTACTGCTAATGCTACGTTCTGCATCTAGTACAGTACCAAATCGAATCCATCCATGGAGAAAATAAACTACTACTACTCCTAGTATACACGGGAACGGGGGATTTGGTTCCTGACGGCATGCACGCAAGAAGCTAGCAGCAGATCTAGGCAGCGACGGGGGCAGACAGTTCCGGACGGAAGCACACGGACGGGGTAGGACACCGGTGGTGGATTGGGAAGCAACCAGCGAGGAAGAGATGAGAGTGCAGGCGGTCGTCTTACTCTTACCGGCTGTGGATCCAGCGGTCCGGCCGGTGGGCGCTCCTCCTCCAGTCCTCCTCCTCGGCAGGCGGAGGTGGGCGAGCGATGGAGATGCTGCTGCAGCTTGTTGCCCCCAAATCTCAATCTCCGCAGGGACACACAGCCGTGGGGGATTTTAAAGCGGCGGGGCGACACTCCACGGCAGGGAACTGGGGGCTGGGGATCTGACCGTCTGAGGGAGGCCGGAGTGGAGGAGCGGCGGCGCTGGGGAGGCCGGAGCCCGGAGGTGCGATGCCTGCCGCCTGCTGCTGGGGTCTGGGGAGGCGCAACGCCGATGGGGACTGGGGAGGCCAGACTCCGGAGGCGCGACTTGGGATGGGATTGGGAATTTGGGACGACGGATGAGTGAACTGAAACCCTAGAATCTGAAGGTTATATAGCTCTTACGCGGTGGCCCCATATGTCAGTGCGGGTTTCGCGGGTTTGCGGATGCGGGCATGCTCTTTTTTTACCCATTTACCTTTGCCCGCTGGGCACAACTCTATGCCCGCGCCCGTGCCCGCGGGCACAGGTTCGCGCCCGTATCCGCGCCCACCGGGTCGGATACCCGCGGGTACACGGATTTTCTTTGCCCGTTGCCATCTTTACCAAGGAGGGCCTATGAGGGCAGTCGGAGGCAGCAAGCTTGACGCTCTGATATCTATGACATGGTGCCTTGGTTGTGTGCATTGTTGTTGCAGTTGTCGGATCTTGAAAGACGCGGTCAGCTTGGTAATGGCTAGATGCAGCACTTGGGTATCGCCTTGGTGGCTTGCAGCGGACTGCGGCTACTAAGACGGTCTCCAACGATGCGACGCAGACGCAAAACTACGTCGTGCACAGTGTTTTGGCTCAAAAAATCAGCCTCCAACGGAAGACGCAAACACGCTACTCATTTTGCGTACCAGGCCAACGAGTAGGCAAATAAGGGTCTTCTCTCTCCGACGCAAAAATCGTCGCCGCCCTTCTTTGCTTTCCGACGCTTGAAGTCGCCGGTGGTTTCTCTCACCGTGGAGGGTCCGTGGGCTAACACCGGCACCGTCCGCCGCTAAGCCGGGCCGGACGAAAGCGAGCTCGAGCACCACGACGAACCCCGAGATCCGCCCTGGCTGGCGCCCGTGCAAGCGCCACCGCTCATCTTCGGCCGGTGGTCTTCTTCTTTGTCTGGCCGACGGCGAGGGAACCACCACCACTTCTTTGGTGCCTCCGAGACTCAGAGCTCCTCGTCCCCATCGCCGCCTTCTTTGCTCCCACAGACCCGTCGTGCTCGGCGCGCTGGCGGGCGAGCGCGCGAGGCGGTCTTGGAGGCGGTAGCGGGTCGAGGATGGGAGCGACCGAGGCCGGGTGCCCAAGGCGGCGGGCTCGCCTGAGATTGGGATGGGGGCGAGCTTCATGGAGGATTGCGCCCGCTGTTGGAAACTAAAAGTTTTGGGTCACGCGCCTTTGCGCTGTTCGTGACCCAAACCAGCTACGCGTCCTTTTTTTTTTTTGTTCTGTCCGTTGGAGACAGTCTAACTCTGCCTGAAAGGGGTGGTCCGGTGTAGGACAGGGTCGACTGACGGTGCAAGCGGTGACGATGGCACGGGGATTACACAGTGTGCAGCAGTCTGCAACGGCTAGCCCTGCATGACAGCGGCTGGCTCGGTGTGGGACGTTGTCAGTAACAATGGCGCAAGTAGTGATGATGGCATGTTGATTTGATGGCTTCATCTTTCAGTGATGATGGTGGTGCATTGTGGCGACCGGCGGGGCGGTAGTGTGGAGCTTCTGCAGTGGTCATGGTTGTGCAGTCTGCAGTGCCTAGTATAGTGGTGTAGAGCAGTGGTGCGATAGTGTTGTGTGGCACGTGTTGAGGTCTTGGTCTAACCGGCTGTTGGTTTTGTTGATTATGGTTGTTAGTTTTGCTTCGTTGCTTTCTAGTAGCTGTTGTTGCTCGACTCTTTGGGATTTAGTTGCTATGTTGTACTGCCTAGCCTAGGCTTCTCCTTTTTAATATATATAGTCGGTAGCTCTCCTGCTTGTTTCATTTAAAAAAACAAAAACCTGGCTATTTGGATCTGATGTACTTACACGGACATACATGTATTGTGCCTACTAACTTCAATCTTTTTTTTTTCCCAAAAAATTATCGTGTGCACATGTGTATGCCCATGTCCTTTTCTGGGTCCACCCTGATCTCAGGTTGGTTTCACCTAATGTTCTGTTGATTCTGAATTTATTCCTTGACGCAGCAGCTGAAAGATGGATGCGAACAGGCGCCAGAGTGGAATTCAGCAGTTGTTGGCTGCAGAGCAAGAGGCTCAGCAGATTGTAAATGCAGCTAGGGCTGGTAATACTATCTTACTTTGGGCACAAATATTACAAATCAAGCATAGTGCTCGAGAGCAAGTACCTTGTGCTATTGTGCATAAGAGCCTGTATTTTGATCTACCGATTAATCTTCATGTAGATATTCACATTTTAGGTAGAAACGTGTTCTATTCTGAGCTATAGTGAGATCAGCATCTAGTTTGTAGAATTGCCTTTGGTGTACTGCCTTTTTTTTATTTGCTTTAGTCTACAGGCTCTTACTTGTTACGACATGCCATACCGCTGAAAAGTCACATGTTGACTGTACAAATGTGCATAATCCAAGTCAGAAAAATATCACTTGTCCTTCACTGATTAGACAACCATGGTCCAATGCAAAGCTTTTGCTCTAGAAATGTCTGTTCAACTTCTGCAGATAATATCCATGACTATGGTTGGTTTTGAGGGGCTGCAGTGTAACGTTTTCTGTGTTCAACAGCTAAGTCAGCAAGGCTTAGGCAAGCCAAGGAGGAGGCTGAGAGGGAAATAGCCGAATACCGTGCCCAGATGGAGGCTGAATTCCAGAGAAAGGTTGCAGAGGTATGTCACTAGCTCAACATGCTCGAATGTTCACAAGATCACAGAGTATCAGAGCCTGAGTTTTATGTATTTGTTGTTTCCAGAGCAGCGGTGACTCTGGTGCAAATGTTAAACGTCTTGAGGAAGAGACAGCAACAAAAATTGAA